GAGCCACATTTAAAAAGTAAAGAAAAAGTGAACTTGATCTCAATAATATATTTTATTCAACATATTAAAATATATTTAATATAAAAATAGATTCTATTTCATCATGTAATGAATATGAAAATACTAAATATTTTACTTTTTTTTTTATACTAAGACTTTGAGATCTTGTCTGTACTTTACACTTACAGTGCACTTCAGTTGGGCCTTGCCATATCTCAAGAGCTCAACAGCCACATGTGGCTAATAGCCACTGTATTGTAAAACACAGCTATAAACATGAGCTTCTGGGTTATCTCACCTGAGGACCTAGGGAATAGGGATATTTATCCATCAACTCTCATCAGTCATTGTTAAGGGCTGTGTCTAAGGGGTGTTGATTCCATGACACTTCCAGCCTACCCTAGGTGAGCTGAGTGGGCGCTTGCAGCCAGACAAAGCTCTCAGGAGAAAAGTTACATGTGCTGGCAGTTGGAAGTTGTCTGGATATACTCCGAAATGGTAACTGATGAGGGAATCTGGGCAGGGAACTGACAGTGTTTGCCCCATTCAATCCTTAAATTTCAGCAAAATACATACTATTATACCTGTTTGAGAGGGGAGTGGTGGTTCAGTGGTAGAATTTTTGCCTTCCATGAAGGAGACCTGGGTTTAATTCCTGACCAATACACGTCATGTGCAGCCACCATCCGTCAGTCACGCTTGCGTGTTGCTATGATGCCAAACAGGTTTCAGCAGAGCTTCCAGACTAAGACTGAATAGGAAGAAAGGCCTGGTGATTTACTTCCAAAATAACTCAGCCAATGAAAACCCTATGGATCACAACAATCTGATCTGCAACTGATCATAGGGATGGCACAAGGCTGGGCAGTGTTTTGTTCCATTGTGCACAGGGTTGCCATGAGTCTGAGGCTGAGCCAATGGCAGCTACCAACAACATCCCTATTTTACAAATGAAGAAACTGAAGTTCAAAGAAGTAAGATAACTTGCCCAAGTTCCCAGAGCTAATCAATGGTGGACTCAGGACTTAAACTCAGATCTGGTCTTACCACAAAATCCATACTCTTTCCACTAAGCTGTCTAATTTGATAGTCCCAACAAGCCTTTAATAGCAAGCAAACATTATTATGTCCCTTTCACACGTAAGTAATCTAAGGTAAAGAAAAGTTTAGGAATGTGTCTCAGATTCCATGGCTAGAAAAGATAGAGCCAGGATTTGAACTCAAGACTTCTCACTCTACCCAGTACTCTTTGAGGAGTCCTCAGTGTTTGAATTTTATTGTTGTTGTTATGTGCCATTGAGTTGGTTCCGACTCATAGTGACCCTATGTACTACAGAACAAAACACTGCCCGGTCCTGTGGCATGCCCACAATCGTTGTCATGCTTGAGACCATTGCTGCAGCCACTGTGTCAGTCCATCTTGTTAAGGGTCTTCCTCTTTTTCGCTGACCCTGTACTTTACCAAGCATGATGTCCTTCTCCAGGGACTGATTCCTCCTGACAACATGTCCAAAGTATGTAAGACATAGTCTTGCCGTCCTTGCTTCTGGTTGTACTTCTTTCAAGACAGATTTCTTTGTTCTTTTGGCAGTCCTTGGTATATTCAATATTCTTTGACAACAGCATAATGCAAAGGTGTCAATTCTTCTTCAGTCTTCCTTATTCTTTGTTCAGCTTTTTCATGCATATGATGCAATTAAAAACACCATGGCTTGGGTCAAGCCCACCTTAGTCTTCAAGGTGACGTCTTTGCTTTTCAACACTTTAAAGAGGTCTTTTGCAGCAGATTTGCCTAATGCAATGCGTCTTTTGATTTCTTGACCGCTGCTTCCATGGTTGCTGATCGTGGATCCAAGTAAAATGAATCCTTGACAACCTCAATCTTTTCTCTGTTTATCATGATGTTGCTTATTGGTCCATTTGTGAGGATTTTTGTTTTCTTTATGTTGAGGTGTAATCCGTACTGAAGGCTATGGTCTTTGATCTTCATCAGGAAGAGCGTCAAGTCCTCTTCACTTTCAGCAAGCAAGGTTATGTCATCTGCATGTCACAGGTTGTTAATGAGTCTTCCTCCAATTCTGATACACCATTCTTCTTCATATATCCTTTCTCAGATTATTTCCTCAGCATACAGATTGAATAGGTATAGTGAAAGGATACAACTCTGACGCACACCCTTCCTGACTTTAAACCACGCAGTATCCCCTAGTTCTGTTTGAATGATTGCCTCTTGATCTATGTACAGGTTCCTCATGAGCACGATTAAGTGTTCCAGAATTCCCATTCTTCACAATGTTATCCATAATTTGTTAGGATCCACACAGTTGAATGCCTTTGCATAGTCAATAAAACACAGGTAAACATCTTTCTGGTATTGTCTGCTTTCAGCCAGGATCCATCTGACATCACCAATGATATTCTTGGTTCCACACCCTCCTCTGAATTTGGCCTGAATTTCTGGCAGTTCTCTGTCAATATACTGCTGCGGTTGCTTTTGCACGATCTTCGGCAAAATTTTACTTGCGTGTGATATTAATGATACTGTTTGATAATTTCCACATTTGGTTGGATCACCTTTCTTGGGAATAGGTATAAATGTGGATCTCTTCAAGTCAGTTGGCCAGGTAGCTGTCTTCCAAATTTCTTGGCATAGACGAGTGAGCACTTCCAGAGCTGCATCCGTTTGTTCAAACATCTCAAACGATATTCTGTCAATTCCTGGAGCCTTGTTTTTCACCAACGCCTTCAGAACAGCTTGGACGTCTTCCTTCAGTACCACTGGTTCCTGATCATATGCTACCTCTTGAAATGGTTGAACGTCGACCAATTCTTTTTGGTATAATGACTCTGTGTATTCCTTCCATCTTCTTTTGATGCTTCCTGCATCGTTTAATATTTTTCCCATAGAATCCTTCACTATTCCAACTCGAGGCTTGAATTTTTTCTTCAGTTCTTTTGGCTTGAGAAATGCTGAGTGTGTTCTTCCCTTTTGGTTTTCTATCTCCAGCTCTTTGCACATGTCATCATAATACTTTACTTTGTCTTCTCGAGCCACCCTTTGAAATCCTCTGTGCAGTTTATTTTTGCTTCAGCTACTCAACGTTCAAGAGCAAGTTTCAGAGTCTCTTCTCACATTCATTTGGGTCTTTTCTTTCTTTCCTGTCTTTTTAATGACCTCTTGCTTTCTTCATGTGTGATGTCCGTGATGTCATTCCACAACTTGTCTGGTTGTCAGTCATTAGTGTTCAACGCATCAAACCTATTCTTGAAATGGTCTATAAATTCAGGTAGAATATACTCAAGGTTGTACTTGGGCTCTCAGGGACTTGTCTTAATTTTCTTCAGTTTCAACTTGAGCATATGAGAAATTGATGGTCTGTTCCACAATCAGCCCCTGGCCTTGTTCTGACTGATGATATTGAGCTTTTCCATCATCTCTTTCTACAGATGTAGTCGATTTGATTCCTGTGTATTCCATCTAGCGAGGTCCAAGTGTATAGTTGCTGTTTATGTTGGTGAAAAAAGGTATTTGCAATGAAGAAGTCGTTGGTCTTGCAAAATTCTATCATGCAATCTCTGGCATCGTTTCTATCACCAAGGCCATAGTTTCCAACTACCGATCCTTCTTCTTTGTTTCCAACTTTTGCATTCCAATCACCAGTAATTATTAATGCTTCCTGATTCCATGTTCGATCAATTCCAGACTGCAGAAGCTGGTAAAAATATTCAATTTCTCTATCTTTGGCCTTAGTGGTTGGTGCGCAAATTTGAATAATAGTTGTATTAACTGGTCTTCCTTGTAGGCGTATGAATATTATCCTATCACTGTCAGTGTTTACTTCAGGATAGATCTTGAAATGTTCTTTTTGATGATGAACGCAACACCATTCATGTTCAAGTTGTCATTCCCGGCATAATAGACCATATAATTGTACCAGTACCAGTCCATTTCAGCTCACTAATGCCTAGGATATGGATGTTTATGTGTTCCATTTCATTTTTGACGATTTCCAATTTTCCTAGATTCATACTTTGTACATTCCACGTTTCGATTATTAATGGATGTTTGCAGCTGTTTCTTCTCATTTTGAGTCATGCCACATCAGCAAATGAAGGTCCTGAAAGCTTGACTCCATCCATGTCATTAAGGTCGACTCTACTTTGAGGAGGCAGCTCTTCCCCAGTCTTTCGAGTGTCTTCCAACCTGGGGGGAGCTCATCTTCTGGCTCTATATCAGACAATGTTCTGCTGCTATTCATAAAGTTTTCACTGGCTAATTCTTCTCAGAAGTAGACTGCCAGGTCCTCCTTCCTAGTCCGTCTTAGTCTGGAAGCTCAGCTGAAACCAGTCCACCATGGGTGACCCTACTGGTATCTCAACACTGGTGGCATAGCTTCCAGCATCACAGCAACATGCAAGTCCCCATAGTATGACTGATAGACAAATGGGGTTTTGAATTTTAGTGTAGATTTATTGAGGGGAAAAGTGTCGCTGAGCCAGACCAAAGGATCACAGCTATTCCAAGGAAGGCTCAGGAAATGCTGGGCATGTTTTGTTAAGGATGAGGTCTGGGGTTTGGGGAAGTAGCTCTGAGGCTGTGTGGCTCTGATTTCCCTAGATTTTTCTGCTCTGACTAAGACCCACTGGGGGCTTCTCTCATGCATGACTTGGGGTTGGCTCAGGCCAAAAATTCCCTGCAGGCTTGGAGGAAGCACCTGCTACATCTTGGCCCCTGGATTAGTCAGAGTGATATTTGCCTGGGAAATCAAAAGCTGATGTTCTCTCTCAGGGGTCCTTAATCTTTTCTGAGCACTGACCTCTCTGAGAAACCAACAGAAGCTATGGATTCTCTCCCCAGAAAACTGCATCTATGCACATTCAAACAAAATTGTTCCTTCAGTTTCTGTGGTGTTCTTAGTTCTCTGGGGCCCAGATGAAAGACTTCCTGTTTCTGGTACGCAGGCCCCACCCACCAAATGCTTTGAGTGAAGGAAAAAAGGTCAGTGGGTGTTTCCTCTAACCCTGGGTGGTGAGTTCTAGAGCACTGGAGGCCTGGGCTCCTTTTCAGCCTGACTCTTGGCTGTCTCCAGCGTTCCTGGGACTTTCTGGAAAGTAGAATGTGCTACAGAGGGAAGGAGTGGTATCTGGTCCTGGAACTGCTGCTGCTGCCTCAACTCTTCCGGGTGAACAGCATCCAAGGTACTTTCCACAAATTATCTGCTGTGATGGTGACTGCAGGCACCGTCAGACGGAAAGGGGAGGTGGGATGTGGCTCAACCCTGGATGTGGGGTCTGGTCTCCAGGCAGCAGGTACTCCTATCCCAGTAGCAGAACTGTAGAGAAGTTGAGGAGCCTTCCTTGGCCTCAGAGAATTGGGTGCCATCTCTTATTCAAGGGGACGTAACGAAAACTTGACTGTGGGGAAAAGAGGGAATCAGTAAGCCAAACCAAACCCATTGCCATCGAATCGATTCTGACTCATAGTGACCCTATAGGACAGAGTAGAACTGCTCCACAGGGTTTCCAAAGCTGTATATCTTTACGGAAGCAGACTGCCATATTTTCTTCTGCGGAGCAGCTAGTGGGTTCAGATTGCTGGCCTTTTGATTAGGAGCCTAGCACTTAACCACTGTACCGCTGAGGCTCCTTGAAGTGGAAGTAGGTCTCTCATATTTCATCCTATGACTGGTGGTTTGTGAAACTGTGGGAAAGTTTTTTTGCATTCTAAAAAGAGAGGAAGCTCCATGCTGATGGCTGCCATGTTATTTATGCTCAGACACACTGTGCTCCTTTAGACATTTGAGACATTCTCCTCTGTCTGTGCAAGGAGTCATGTCCTAAGTCAAGGTAAATGATGTTGTCATTGTCCCAAAGATAGATCAAAACTGCAGAAAAGAAAACTGGAGAAGATTTCTCTGTCTAGGCATGGGCTTCTGAATGAGGGTCTCAGCAGAGGCCTGAAGTGCCTTGGTATCAAAGAAACCCATGAACATTTGATTGTTTAGAGTTAAGCTGCACTCCTCTGCCAAAGTTCTTTTCTGGCTCCCCTCATGTGCTCAGGGACTGAGCTCACTTTCCTTTCTCTGTTATAACCGTCCAACCCTATTTCTCCATCCAGTACTGTCTTCCCAGGCCAGCCGAGAAGCAAGAGTTAAACTTTTGCTTCTCTAACTACTCCCTCAAATAATAAAACAAAACAAAAAACTAGTTGCTGTTGAGTTGATTCAGACTCATGGTGGCCCCCGGTGTGTCAGAGTAGAATTGTGCTCCATTAGGTTTTCAATGGCTGTTGTTTTGGAAGTAGACCACCAGGTCTTTCCTCCAAGGCATCTCTTGGTGGACTTGACCCTCCAGCATTTTGGTTAGCGGCTGAGCTTGTTAAACCATTTGCACCACACAGGGACTCCCCCTAGATAAATACCCAGGTCTTTTTATTTAAAGGTCTTTAATGCTAACTGATTCGAAACTGATGGGGTTGGTGGGCAGTGTTTTGTTCCATTGCACATGGGGTTGCCATGAGTCAAAGCCCACGGCAACAGCAGCTAACCACATCAACAATGCTGACCCCTCTAAGGGACCACACAGAGTAAAAATAAGCAACATGTTATGATAAGATATAACTTTAGGGAGATGAGATAGTGATGCTTGGAGGAAATCCAGCTGTCTACTCACACTGGGCTTCAGCGGGTGGCAATACTTTAGGTCTGGTTCATGACTGTGTGGATCTACAGATGATATCAGGTCACTTGGAGGTGGATAGCATAGGGATGACCCAGCTCACAAGACACTGCTATGCCCTTGGGAGCGGGGCCCAAAGTGAGGTATTAATCCAACTGCTGGGATTGTCTCTGCCAAGAGAACTGGACCATTTCAAGACTTTCTCTAGATGTGTTGAAAACACCCTGACAGAGGGTCATTCTCTGACTTATCGTTTTCTAGGCTCAATCCTGATCATTTCTTCTCTTTTGGTTGAAACATGTAGACAACAGACACATGGTTACCTGATTAAGTTATCCTTTAAATAGATAACATTTATTTTGATTAGGTTAGCATCGTCCATTTCTATAACTTAGGTTCACAAAATATAAATGAAGCATTTACTATGTGTTAGACATTGTGTCAGGCATTTTATATGCCATCTAAATATATGTTTTATATGCTATTTAATTTTCGTAAGAAATTAGTGAGGTGGCTATCATTATCTGCATTTTTCAGATGAGAATAGCATCTCTCAGAGAGACTAGGAAATTCTCCAAAGGGCACACAGGTCTCACTCCCAAACTGCGTTAATATGACCTTGCTTTCCTGAGACTAAGCCCAGGGAAACTAAACCAAAACAACTAGATGGAGGTCAATGTGTCTAAATCTCTTCATGCATAGATTCTGGTGCTCAAGATTTTACCCCTGGTAACCCCATCTCAGCCAAGCCAAACTTTGCTCTTTGCCTTGAAACAGGCATTTCCCTCTTACCTCTGGGCTTCTGTGTATGCCTTTCCTTCCGTCTGGAATTCCTGGCATCCTCTCCCCTCCCATTGCCTCTCCTTTAGGCTTCCATCTTCCTGTGACTTCCTCCTGGAAACTGCAGGTTCAGATTAAGATTGATGAATTGCGGGTTTAATTGTCTGCTGCCTTGACCTTCATGAGGACAGGGACCACGCCCATTGTTGCACTGCTGAACCTAGCACAGTGCCTGGAACACAGCACCAAAACAAACCCAAACCCATTGCCGTCAAGTCAGTTCTGACTCATTGTGATCTTATAGGGCAGAAGAGAACTGCCCCGCAGGGTTTCCAAGAAGTGGCTGGTGGATTCAAACTGCCGACATTTTGTTTAGCAGCCGTAGCTCACCGTAGCTCTTAACCACTGCACCACCAGGGCTGGTGCTCAATAAATAATTGTTAAATAAATGAGTGAATGACTTAAAAGAATTTCCTTTTAGGCTATACATTCAGCTTTTCCTTGGGGTACAACTGTTCTCTCCTCTGCAGTAAGGCGTGCTTCTGTGGAAAAGTGTGAGAAGCACTCTTAGCTCTCCTCTTTTATCCCTCCTAGGTACGACTGTTCTAGGCTCTCTGGTTTCAGAGCAATGATTCAGGGCACCCTTCGCTACTAGGTACCTTCCCCATCCCCCACAGCACTTAGCAGGATGCAGTGGAAATAGCATTGGTCTGGGAATCTGAAGACTTATATCCTATCTGGGTTTCATGGCATAGGATTTTCTGTAAATCATATAAGCTTCCTGAACCTCGACTTCCTCAGATCTCTTATGGGAATAATAATATGCTCCCTGCTTCTTCCAGGGGTTGCTGTTAAGATGGAATGAAATAAAGAACGTGAAATTGCTTTGCAGATTGTGACACACACAATCTGAGAGAGAAAAGAACCTGAGAAGAGCGTAGGTAAACTCCAAAGCTCTTTCCTGAGCCCCAGACCTTCATTTCTTAACTGTCTAAGGAGCCCTGGTTGTGCAGTGGTTAGGCGTGCTAACCACATGGTCAGCAGTTGGAACCCACTAGCTGCTTCATGGGAGAAAGATGTGCCAGTCTGCTTCTGTAAAGATTTGCAGGCTTGGAAACGTTATAGGATCTCCATGAGTTGGAATCGGCAAAGGGTTTTTTTTGTTTTTTAATTTGGGGTGGGGGATGGGTATTAGACCCTCCTCTAGGCTTGAAAACATATGTCCAAAATTAGCTCATCATCTTGTACTGTAACAAACCACCACAACACCACTGCTGAAATGATAACAATCGTTTGTTTTGCCCATGTATCTAGGAGTGGATTGGCCTCAGCACTGCCTGCTTGAGGTCTGTCCTGTGCTTGCAGTCACATTGTGGTGCGGCCTGGGGTCAACTAGAAGGCTTCACTCATGTGCCTTGGGCTGGAGAAACTCAAATAGCTGGGGTTCCTCAGTTTTCTCTCTCCGCCTCCTCCTTCTTCGTCTATTTCTATCTCACTATCTCTACAAGCTGGTCTCAGGGTAGCTGGGCTTCTTCCATGGCAATTGAAGCCTCCCAGGTTGAGTGTACAAGAGAAACAGGCAGGCACTGCCCCGCCTTTTCTAACCTAGCTCTGACAGCCACACAGCATCTCTTCCAATGCATTCTGTTCACCAGGCCTGGCCAGGTTTCAGGGGGAGGGAACATAGACTCTACCTCTTGGTGGCAGGAGTGTCAAACTTTCTGCAGACATTAAAAAAAAATCACTATAAACTCCCCTCCCCTCAAACCTACTGTTCCTCCTCATTCCCTGTCTCAATAAATGGCTTCTCCATTTGTCCCATTGCTCAAGCCAGAGTCCCAGGAGTCATCCTTGACCCCTTTCTTTCTCTTGCCTCTCACATCTGAGGAATAAGTCCTCTCAATTCTACCTTCAAAAATACCTCTCAAATATGTCCAATTCCATCCACCCCAACTGCCACAATCCTAGATCAAGCCACCATTTTCTGTCAGCCCATTCTAATAGTCTCCCATCCTAACCGCTCTTTTTATTCCATTCTCCCCTATCTGTGTGTTCTCTGCACTGCCATCAGAATAAATTTTCTAAGATGGCTATTTATTTATTTCATTCCTCTACTAAAAACTGTTCAATAGCTGCTACGGTAAATGAGAGTTAGCAACAGAAGCTCTGAAAAAAAAATTCGAGTTTCATAATATGACTACTTCCTGGCTTCCCCCTAGTCTATGCTGTAACTGACTGAACTTTTACTTCTTTGAATAAATCTTGCTTTTTTCTTGTTTCTGGGAGTTTGGGGTTATTTTTTTCTGTTTCCTTCTCCTTGGAACACTTGTTACTCCCAGTCTGCATCTTTCCTGGATAATTCCTACATATACTTTTGGGTCTTCACTTAGACCACACTTTCTATGGAAGCCATTCCTAAACCCCCAGTTCAGGTGATGTGTGCCCTCTTCTGTGTCCCCTTCGCATTCCATGTCCTAACACTTATCACCAATAGTGGAATTGCCTGATTAATTGTCTATGTCCACTGAACTGGAAGCTCCTTAAGGGCAGTAGCTATATCTATCTTATTCATCAGTGTATGCACTGGTGCCTCACACAGAGCCTAACACACAGGAAGTGCTCACTAAACATTTATTAGATGAATTAATAAGTAACTAAATTGATACATGTATGTATAGATGGATGGATGGATGGATGGATGGATGGATGGATGGATGGATGGATGGAAGTAAGGAGGGAAA